TCTCTGGCCAAGCTTCCACCTTCATTACAGGGCCCTGATGTTACAGAGCCAAGGACCTAGGATCCAATGATAGTGAGTGCCACCGCACAGCAGGCTCCAGAGTGGGGAGCAGAGGAGCTTGGTACCCACCATGTCACCCTGTGGCTCCGAAAGCCTAGGCTGGAATTTTGGCAAGAAGTCTCCTATTCTCCAGGTTCAGGGGGCCTGACTTCACTGCTTCGAACTCAACTTGCTCATTCCCACCTCAGGGCCTCTCTATTTCCTTTTCCTTCTACCTGGATCCCTCTTTCTCCAGATGTCCACATGGCTCAATACTAGTTCTTTAGGCCCCAGCTCAAAGGTCTTCTGTTCTGAGACACCTTTTCAGACCTTAATCTAAAGTAGCCTGTAAGCACTATCGCATTACTATTTTTTTTTTTCTGATTGAATTTTTCACTACCTGAAATTATGTTTTGTGTTTATTTGTCCATTAACTTATCTTGTACTCTCACCAGATTGCATTTTCAATGGAAGCAGGGACTTCATCTGTCTTGTCAGTGCTGTATTCCAAGATCTAGAACAAAGCCTGGCACAGTAGTTTCTCAAATATCTGCTAAACTGAATTCTCACTAGGGGACCCTGCCCTAGGCTAGGCCCTTCACACTGAGAAGGGCCCATAGCTTAGGACCACAGGACAGAGGGCCAAGGAAGAACCTATGCCCCAACCTGTCCTGTCAGGCTCCTTCCAGTGTCCTACTCTGTACCTCCTTCACCTTGAAAGTTGGGAGGGGTCTGGCTGGTTGGGGGCCTCACCCGAGAAAGTCTCAGAGTTCCGGGGCACAGCCCCCTTTTTACCAGAAGAGGACTTTTTGGCCACTAGGCCATTGTCATCCTTGATCTTCTTGAGCCGGGCCTTGCTCTTTGGTGGTATGGAGAAGGTGAGAGAACTCTTGTTGAACTCAAGTGGGAAGACACCTACATCTCCATCAAAACGGTTCTTGGACAACTGCAGGTATCGTTTTCCTGGCCCAGTTACCAGCTTCCTGTCCTGCAGGATCAGAACATTGTCCGCTTCCTGGCTTGCCTGAGGGACAGGGAGCAGAGGATGAAGGAGCAGTGAGAAGACATATGAGAGAAGCAGAAATGAAGGTCGAGCATGTAGGGAGAAGTGGCAAGAATGGGGAAAGGAAAAAGTACTTTCCCTTTTCATCAAAGCTTTTTGAACTATTGACCATGATGCTGGGGCCATTCGAATTTTTCAGTTCCTTAGCAATCTTGCTACCATCCCCAGATTTTGTACCTGCTGTTCCCTCTGCTTGTAACACTTCTCCTACACAGCCCATCACCCCACTCAACCCCAGTTTCTTATCATTGAGGTCTTAGTGTAAATGTCTCACTTTATCAGAGAGACCATTCTTAATCCCCATAAATAAAGAAGGCACCACCATCTTTCTACTTCAGTGTTAGTCTCTTCCCCAGCTCCATGTTTGTTTCATCGTAGCACATGGTCTGTGCTCCTCACCCTGTGTTCCCTGTGCCCAGCCCAGGCCTGGCATGTAATAGGCATTCAGTGTACCTCGGAAGCTCCAGGATTGGGCTGGTCCTGCTGCACAGAAGGCCCTCCCATTTAGTGATTAAACACCCACTATTGGCCAAAAGTCAACCCAACCTTTACTGACACCTCCTCTAGGAAGTCTCCCCAGATACCCCAGGATGACTCAGATGTCTTTTCTCTTTGTTCCCCAAATACCTGTGCTACCTATCATCGCTTTTATCACACTGAGTTGTAATCACTGTCTCACTGTTTTCCCCACTAGATGATGTGAGCTCGTGGAGGGGAAGGAGAGCAAAGGACCTACAATTATTCGCCTTTATATTCCTCATGTCATGGCCCCAGCTGCCTCTTCCAGATGAAGTCAAGATGCTTTAAGGCTGACTAAGGACTATGCCTGGTCACACCTGCCCCTCTACTTTCCAAAGCTCGGGCTCCTCTAAAGGTCACTTACTTTGGCTGAACCAAAAATGGATGCTGTCTGCAGTTCCTTATCATCATCCTCCTTCCGGGGATGAATGACCAGTGTCACATGGCAGTTACTGTCTGTCGCAAACTTCCGAAAAGCCCCAACAATGTAGTCTTGAGCTGCAATCCTGCACCCACCCCAACAAAGCAAAGAGGTCATCAGATATCGACAGGACAAGAATATACACATACTCTTGATTCATTCACATCTCCACAAAGCACCACAACCCCACTCTATACTTTTCTTTACCCAAGGACTCACACTTAGGTCCCTGTCCATACTTCCTGCTGCTACACCCCACGCCTCATAAAGACATGGAGTGGGGTATGTCTGGACACATGTCAGAAAACAAGAGAGTGCAGTGTGAGTCCTGGGGGCCAGCTGCCTGAGAAGACATGTGTGTCCAAGTGGGTCCAGATAGACAAAAGGACGTCACCTGTCCGTGGACAGCTGCTCGTGACCCATCATGAACTGCAGATTGTCGATGACTACATGACAAATGTCATAGACATAGACCGCATGCTGCATTGTGTCTATTACAGTCCTGGGAAGAAGAAGAGGCAATGAGTTCAAGCCAGCATTCTGAAAACCCCAGGGTCTGTTCTCCTGCCCTCCCATTCTTTAAAAACCCCAGGCCTGGGAATCTTACCTGATGTTCTGTTGTCCATGGAAAGTCATAAAATAGAGGGGTAGGTCCTCAAAGCGGTCGGCCCACTCATCGTATTTGTCCAGTTGCTCTTCCAGCCGCCCCAAAGCAAACTGTGTTAGCATGATCCGAGCTAATCTCACGTTGCTGATCTCAAAGCTACCCCATAGCGTGTTCACCCCCTGGGTACATAGATCTAGGGCATACTCACTGATGAATGTCGTCTTTCCACTGCCTGTTGGCCCTGCAGGGGGGTTGAACACAGACCTGGGTGAGGGAGGGAAGTCCTACCCTTGAAACCAAGACATGGAGCAGGGCCTCAAAGTTGGGAGGAAAAGCCCCCTCAACATTTACAGTAGTCCAAACCCACATGTCACCAGATCCTCTGCCACCACCCAAGCAGTGATTTCCCAAAGGGTAACCTGTAAAGACTGTCAGCTCGCCCTTCCGATGTCCCTTCAAGAGACGATTGAGGTCTGGGAAGCGGCTCCAGCGAACGCCAGCTACCTGCTCCACATTTGACAGTTCTCCTAGTACCTCCTCCCGAAGTTGCCGGAAAGACACAATAGACTTGTGCCAAGCGGGCAGGGCAGAGCGCAGAATTCGAGGAAGATTTAAGCCTCGGTTTAGGGCCTCCAGGGGGCGGGGATGCTGGTCCCCAGGCCGCACCAAGGAGCATCGCTTGGGGTTCAGTTTGCGGGCAAACAACTTGGCAGCTTCCCAGGACCGAAGGTCATCCCCAAGCCAGAGCACGATACGTCGGAACTGTTCGAGGTAAGGAAGTAAGTCAGGGGGCAAGCAGGTTGTTCCTCGGGGAAGGGCAAGAGTGGGCAGCCCTGTGGATTGGTTTAAGGCCAGGCAGTCCAGCTCACGACTCGTCAGTACCACCTCAACATCTCGACGACTGATCAGCGGTAATCCAAACAGATTGTGGTAGGCACCAGGCCGAGGAATGGTGGTCTCCACATAGTGCACTCCATCCCCTTGGCCTTCAGCCCCTAGGAGCTTTAGGCCTCGTAATCCCAAACCTCCAGGGGAGAACCAAGGGAAGACAAGGCTCCGAGCAGGCCGCAGATACCGCACACTGAAATGCTTGAGTGTGTCATCTGTCACCTTGGTAAGGCCAAACATCGCCCGAGCCAGCTGCGCCTCCTCCTGCTCAGGCAGTTCCCAGAGAGGTACTGCTCGGTCCCAGATCCTCCGGATCTCCTCGCTGTCCTCAGCTCCTGGGGCTTCGCTCAGCAGGATTCCCTCTCTATCTCCATCCCCACGCCCTTCCACGCTGGCCTGGAAGTCTTCCCAGCTTCCCTCTGCTAGGCTGGTCATGCAGAGAAAGCGGCCGGTGGTCTTGTTAATGTAGAGGCTGAAGGAAGTGGTAGCACCAGTCTGGTCCTTGAGCTGCGAGGCTCCCAGAAAGGGGCTGGGTGCCCGCAGGCAGCTGTGGCCATCCTGGAAGGGGATCCCGTGTGCCCGCAAATATTGGCGGATTTCCGTTGCAGTTACAGGCAACACTGGCACGTCCAGGGCTGGGAGAGCCTCCTTCCTGTACCGTCTTCGAGGAGGGCCTGGGACCAAGCTTCGAGGCAGGCCCCTCCAACCCATCCACTTCCCGCGCAGGGACAGCAGGATACGGAGGGGGTAGACACTTCGGAGAAGGACCCACATTCCTAGTCAAATGGTGGAAGCCCCTGCTTCCGATGCCTTAGGTGCCTGGTGCAGGTACCTTCCGAAATCAGACCCTAGAGATGCTCCACACGGCACCCTAGCTGGCTTCTCCCTTTCTTCAAACTTCTCCCTCATGCACACCTGTCTGAATCCTCTTCGGCCCTTCTACATTGCTACTTGTACCCCAGGCCATCTGCACGATCCTTTCACGCCTCGGTCCCTGTTTGGCTCCTTCACAGCTTCTCCCATCGCAGCCCTTCACCGATGACGGTTTCTCCAGATTCTCTCCACCGCTACTGCCCTCCGCGGCGTCTCTGCGTCGCCCTCATCTCTGCAGCCCCCGGCGTCCTCTCCGCTGCCCCTCTGCTCTAGATCCCCAAGCAGGGGCTCTCTCCGCGGCCCCTCTGCTCTAGATCCCCAAGCAGGGGCTCTCTCCGCGGCTCCTGCCCCCAAAGGGCACGACACGACCAGGGCGCCACCGTGCGGCCCCCGCCCCTCTCCGCGCCCCTTCTCCACCGGCGCGCGTGTCTTCCCTCCCGGTCACCCGCGGGGTCTCCGCCGCTCCGAGCCTGGCCGCGTGTCACCACTCGCGGCTCATGACTTTCGCTCGCAACGTGGGTCACTCACTCGCACGCGCCACACGCCAGGACCTCGGAATCAAAACTCCCCGGGGCGCGTGCCCCCGGAACCGGAAGCCCGGGTTAGCCCCGCCCCCTCCCCTCGAGCCGGGGCTCGGTCGCCTGGGCGCTGCAGCCATGACGGCGCGCGGGACTCCGAGCCGCTTCCTGACCAGCGTGCTCCACAACGGGCTGGGCCGCTACGTGCAGCAGCTGCAGCGCCTGAGCTTCAGCCTCAGCCGCGACGCGCCCTCGTCCCGCGGCGCCAGGTGAGCCTGCGAGGGGCGCGGGGCAGCGACTCCCGGCAGAGGTCGCCCGGGTCAGGGGTCACCGTGCTCACCCTTTTGGGGTTTCCCAGGGAGTTCGTGGAACAGGAGGTGGCCGACTTCGCCCGACAGAACCCGGGGGTCGTCATATACGTGAACGCGCGGCCGTGTCATGTGCCCAGAGTCGTGGCCGAATACCGTGAGTGGGCCGGGCGGGCGCGGGGGCGGGGGGCGGCCTGCGGGCGGGCGGGCCCGTTTCCATTCCCGCGTCTGAGGGCTGACCGGCCCGCCGCCTCTCACCCACCTCCCTCCCGCCAGTGAACGGGGCGGTGCGCGAGGAGAGCCTCAACAGCAAGTCGGTCGAGGAGATCACGACGCTGGTGAAGAAGCTCGCGACCCAGTCGGGCTTGGACATCATCCGCATCCGCAAGCCCTTCCACACGGACAGCCCCAGCGTCCAGGGCCAGTGGCACCCCTTCACCAACAAGCCGACGGCGCGGGGCGGGCTGCGCCCCCGAGAGGCCCAGGGTCCTGCCCCCGCCCAGGGGCAAGCCCAGTGAAGAGTTGCCCCGACTCCAGCCCCAGGGAAGGCGGTTCCTCCTCTTTTGGTTCCGGGGGTTACAAGCCCAGACGGACAGATGGAGCCTGAGAAAGAGAAAGTTGATGCCAAAACTTTCGCTCGGGACAGAGAAGAGCTGCCTGTTGCTTTTGGTGCCCACTGCGAGGGGCAGTGACCTTGTGTCTCAATTAGCCAGTTGGCATTGCTGAAACCTGAGAGTCTTCTGGGCTCTTCCTGGGTCCTCCTCTTTGAAATCCAAATTGATGACAGTGGTCTCTCACAGCGAGGGACTCCCAGGCCGGCTTCTGAAGCGTCTCTGAGGTTCTGTTTCTGCAGCCCCTGAGCTAGAGAGCGCCAGCACCTTCTCTGCTGTGAACCTGGCACCGGGCGAGGCTGTATGAATGCGTGTACATGACAAAACTGAGATGAATAAACTTGCGCACGGTCACACCTGAGGTCTTACTTCAAAATATTTTAAGCACAACCCCATTTTTCATGATCATAAAACCAGAAGTGGGGCATGTACTAAACCTTTCAGGATGCTTAATATCAAAGGCCGTGTAATTAATCTAGGCCTGACCCTTGGAGAGAGTGATTCTCAGGGTTACTGGTAAATGGGGAGCATCTTCTAGGGCAGCGGTTCTCAACCTGGAGGTCGCGACCCCTTTGGGGGTCGAACAACCCTTTCACAGGGGTCGCCTAAGACCATCGGAAAACACATGTATAATTACATATTGTTTTTGTGATTAATCACTATGCTTTAATTATGTTCAGTTTGTAACAATGAAATTTGGGGTCACCACAACATGAGGAACTGTATTAAAGGGTCGTGGCATTAGGAAGGTTGAGAACCACTGTTCTAGGGGTTTAGCTAAAAAAAAAAAAAAAAAAGGTGGGGAAGATGGTGAGGAAAAGAGGTAGGAGGTAAAAACCTAGAAACCTTTCTATGAGTCCTGAACCACTCTACTTTTGTTGTGCCCTTCATGCCATGATCCGTTACTAGTGAGAGCCTTAACAAAGGGCAGCCAGGATGGAAGCTGAGGATCCCAGTTTCCTCTGCAAATGGTTTCGTGGGGAGCAGACCTAACCCTGCAGCCCTTTTCCATAGTCTCAGAAGCCTGTCCCCTGGTGAGCAGGGGAAGGCCAGTTTAGACCAAGCAGACTACTCACAGTCATGGGGAAAAGGGTATTTATTAACCAACAGGGTGGAGGAGCGGAGTCTAGGCTCCCCACTGTCACATGTCCGTTCCACCCACCTGGAGTGGGGGGAGGGGGGGAGGGGATTGGCGGCATTCCTAAAGAGTATAACCATCTCACAATAAATACATTCATTGTGGGGGAGAGGTGGGAGAGGAAGGGTGAAGGGCAGTAAAAATCCGTGGGATCCCACGTTCTCAGCTACAAAAATAACAGTCATCCTCACCCAAAGGAATGGGGGAGCTCAGTCAGGATTTGATTGTCCCATTTGGGCCTGGAGACTTCAGAGGCCACTGGACCCTAAAAGTGCCCCGGTGAGGTAGGACAGGGGTGGAGCCAAGCATCCAAACTCCCAGCCTCTGCCCTTTGCATAGTTCCAAGAACGGGCTTCATGTGCCAGGTGAGTTATCAGATCTTCCTCCTGCTCTGATCTAGGGGTAGCAAATGCTTGGTCCCCAAAAGGGAGGCTGGCTCATTGAGTGCAGTGTGGGTTGCCCGTCCTAGGGAAGTGTCTGCAAGGACAGCTACACCAGAGAGGGCTCTCTCTTTGAAATGTCCATGGACCAAACCTGATAGACAGGTCTGAGGCAGCAAGAGGAGGCTCATAAGGTGCATGTGAGTGGAAATGTAAGCACGTGTATGTGAGGGACATGCCTAGAACTCTGCCTCTGTCACTCTTGAGAGTGACCAAGGGCATGGGGGGAGGGGGGAGGTTGATGCGTAAGGGCTACCCATTAAGGGAGAAGAGGAGAATGATACAGTCTTACCTCCCACTGCCGGCCTGTTCCCAAGTTCTTGACAGAGGTCATCATAGGGGGCTGGGACTAGGGAAGAGGACTAGATAGCTAGATAGGATGGGATATGGCAATTGGGAGGGAACCCAAAGCCCTGAAAAGGGGATGAAAATAAGGATGCACCAGAAGGTGGGGGTGGGGGCCTGCAGCCCAGCTGGTAGACATTCTTCCATGTGTGCATGTGAATGTACGTAGGGCTCAAGTGGCTCTTTTGGCTACAGAGGTCTTGTCTGGTGTCAGGACCATCCAGCACATGGGGCCATGCGGAGGATGGTGACATTGAGGCCATCTGGACCTGCAAGCCCTGCCTGAGAGAAAGAGGGAGGATTTGAGCAGATGAATGGGCAGGAGGATGGGGTCCTCTCCTCCCACGTGCTCAGGTTAAAGGAATAGGAACTGGGGCTGGGGCTGAAGAACCTGAGGGAGCACCTACCTCTGAGGAGAACCAGTTGGCCTGGGCTGCTCACAGATGGGTCTGTGGAGACTGAGGGGACTTTGGCTGGGCCTGACTCTGGCCAGCCCTATAGGGACATCAAAAGTTAGAAGGGCCTGGAGTTGGGGGGTGGGGGGCGGTGAAGGTAGGGCTGTGTTGGGAGGCAGCAGCCCAGCCTGGGCAGACAGGCTGGTTGGAAGAGCATTTGTCCTGGGACGCTGGGCTCAGACAGAGCTCTCATCCAGGTGCTCTACGAGCTGTGTGTGCTTCCTCTTCTCCAGAATGCGGCTGAGCTCCTCAGCGAAGGAGCAGGGCCCTGTGGGCACTCCATTGTTGCTCTGCCTCAGGAGCATGTAGCTGTTGCCATTCATCCTGCGCAGCCGGCTGGGCAATGCCACCAGCCCATTGGTCAGCTCAGCTGGTGGTGGTGGTGGTGGTGGTGGAGGTGGGGCTGGAGCTCCTTCCCCCGGAATGATTTGGAGACAGCCACTCTCTAGGCCTCCGGCCCCCTCGCCATCGTCACCCTCATCTTCCTCTCCCGGACACTGGCCTGAGACTGTCTGCAGCTGCACAGCAGAGCCCCCTGCCCTGCCAGCCCGGCCCAGTGAGTATTTCCGTCGGTGCCCTCGTCTGCCGCCCCGAAGACAGGCCACATAGAGGAGGGAGGAAGCCAGGATGAGGCAAAGGCCACCAAGGGCAGCAATGGCTAGCACATAGAGCAGCCTTACATCAGATGCCAATTGTGCCCCAGGCATGGCAGGGGCTTGTGGAGCCGGGGCAGGAGTGGCAGGCCGTACCACGAGGCTGTAGGAGGTCAGCAGGGTGCGGAGGCCATTCTCCTCAGCGTAGCACTCATAGTTGCCACTGTGCTCAGGCTGTGTGTCTGTCACCAGCAACCCATCCACGCCTACACGGTAGCCACCCTGCCCATCACTCAGGCCCAGGCTCCCGTTGAGCAGCCACAAGGCCCGGGCCAGGTTGGATGGCTGGTCACAGGGCAGGAGGACGTCGTCACCCCGGAGCACAGTGCGTGTCTTCATTGGTGGTGGTGGTGGCCCTGGAGAGAGGAGGGGACGGGAGGAGCAGTCAACGCCTGCCAATCCCAGGGAAGGCACTGGAGATGGCAAGCCAGATGGCTCACTGCTATGTCCCCAGCATCAAGCATAGAATCTGGAATCAAGGTGACAACTGGCCAAGCTCTGCATTTTTGCTCACACAGAAGGCTCACATTGGCCCTCCCTGTGGTTTCAATTCCTGCCATCTGCTGGTGATGCCTAATCTCCACCTCCAGCACAGAGTTCTCTCCTGAGCGTCAGACTTGAATATCTCCCACATGCTGGGCATCATGAGTCTCTTGTACATGTCACAGGAACTAAGGCTAAAGCTTCTGTCTCAAACTACACCAAATCTTTTCCTCAAATTACTATCACTGCATAGCATTACCAGCTATTCAGGTGCTTAAGTCAGAAACCTGGGGGTCTCCTTTGCCTCTCACCTGCCCCCACCCCTTCACCTTTGTATGTAACTCTCACCCAAGATCCTGCTTCTGGAATCTACCTCAGACCTGTTCACTTCTCTTCTTCCCCAACTGCTGGCCCACTCTGGTCCCCATCTAACCCATTCATGCAGCAGTGGGGTGACCTTTTAAAAACACTCAGCTGATCATGCCACTCCCCTGTCTTAGCATGGTCCCTGCCCACTTCTCCAGCCTCTTCTCTTGTTGCTCAAACACACCAAGCTCACTCTGCCTGCTGTTCCCTCTGTTTGGGTGACATCCCTCTCCCGATGGCCCCCACTTGCCTGGTTAATTTGAGGGGGAGAGCATAGCGGTGATCAAAAGCACAAACTCCAGTCTGACTGCTGGGCACAGGTTCAAATTCTGACCCTGCCGCTGAATACCTGGTTGACTCTGGTCAGCTTACTTATTCTCCCTGTGCCGGAGAGGTTGTCCCTTGTGAGGATGATGACAATGGCACCTCTCTCAGGGCAGTGCTGAGAGAATGAATGGCGTTCATGTATGTGAATGCCCAGCACATAGTAAGTTCTCAGTACATATTAGCTATGATTACTAACTTTTGCTCTTCACATATCACCTGAGTCATCTGATCCTCCTTGGGGAAGTACCCATTATCCTTCAAACCCTTGTCATTGCTGTAATTATTTCTTTTGTAACAAAAACCAGTGGAAATAATTATAATTAATTGTGTGATCGTGTGATTGCCAGCCCCTCCTCCCTCCACTTGGCTGTAAGCTCCGGAAGTGAGCACGTTTCCTCATTTATAATTTTTTTGGGCAACAAATGTCTGTTGAGCACTTACTCTGTGCCAGAATCTGAAAGCACACAGACACAGCCATTCAGATACATACATTTACATACATACAAATTATGTAAATGGTAAGGAGGACAGCCAGACCCACACACATACATGAATATCACTTACCTGTGTCCCTGTTGCCCTCACAGCCTCGGTTTCCTCTCTCTATATCCTGTATCAGTGCTGTCCTGGAGACAGAAAAACAGGACTCATGAACAAGGGGAACTGGGCTTCAGGTCCCCCAGTGGCGGGGTCAATAGGGCTGTTACCAACAACTGGTTCCCACTCCCCCTACAGCTGGCAGGCCTTCCTGTTCCCCTCAGGCTCTGAGTCCCTGGGCACATGGGACCCTCAAATCCCCTACCACTTCCCACCTGCTACCCTGAGACCTGTTCACTACGATGTTGGTCTCCATGCAGGCACGAGTGCTGGGGTCCCAGCCACAGTAAGGGTCCCGGGCCAGGATGCAGTCGTAGCAGGAGCGATAGCGGGAACAGCTGGACAGTGGTAGTTGGATGACTCCACTAGTGGCCCCCACATAGAGGCTATGCTGGGAGCCAGAGAGGACAGCTAGTCAGCAACAACCCCACTTCCACTTATAGACACATACACAGCCAATGCCCAGCCTCCCAATCCCCCTATTCTGGCATTCTGAGGGTCACGAGTCAGGGGTTACCTGCATTGGAGAGATGACCAGATTCTCCACAGATTGGGGCTCCTTGAACACTTGTGTCTCTTCGATAATGTGCATGCCAGAGCCCAGGACCACAGCCTTGTGGATCCAGCCATCAGCTGGTATGAAAAGGGCAGGAGGTCAGATCCCAGCAATGGAATCTGCTCTTGGCCCCCTGCAGTATGGGACCAGCTCGGGAGTCATGAGGTCAGGGACAGGATTCAGCCAGTAGCAGTGGGCCCTCAGGACAATGGGAACTCTGGGCATGTCATGGCAGGAATTGAGTTAAGAAGCATTAGTGATCAGGGTCAAATGTCATTGTGGTTGGTGACAGGAGTCAGAAGTCACCAAAACCAAGTGTTCACTGGGGGCCAGTAGTGAGTGTTCATTGAAGAATCAACATCAATGGTTACCAGGGTTTTGTGACCAAGGGTCATCAAGGGACTAGAGGTCAACAGGGATCAAAGGACAGGTCAGCAGTCACCAGAGGGCTTAGGCCAGGGGTCAGAAGCACCTGTGCTCAGAAAGAGCAGGTCATAGGTGGGTCCAGCAGGCGTGGTGACAGGTGTCCCTGTGAGGTGTGTGTAACGCACGCTGCGCTTGAGCAGCAAGGGCCGTCCACGTGTGGGCACCACGGGCCGAGCCATCAGTGGGTGCAACTTCACAAAGTCCAGGACCAGCGATGGCAAGTCCTGGGATGAGTTGTAGCCTTGGCTGCGCAATGAATCTGTGATGCACTGGGGTAGGGGACAGGGGTGGTGAACCTCAGGACTCCCCACAAGGATCCTACTCTCCCACGGGTTTTGTCCTCCTGCCTGTGCTCCCCACATGGCCAGACCCTCCAGTCCCTCCCAGGGGTTCTGTCTACTGAGCACCCTACCCCAGGCCTGCTCCCTCACCGAGCCAGGCCGGGGCTCCGGCACCCCACCCTCATAACGGCCCCAGCGCCGGACACCATCCTGGTATTCCATGTAGGGGCCTGCAAAGACAGCTTGCACCTCCGTCAGGTCATAGCGGCAGATGGCTGAGGCCTCCAGGGTCTTCCTAGGGATAATACATAGGGGAGAGGGCTGAGTCACACTGAATGGAGCCTGCCTGTCTGCCACCTGCCCAGCCTGTAGCCCACTTACCCTGGTTAACCCCAGCTCCAGGCCCATAGGGCCTCCTGAGGGTCAGTAGGCCACTGTGGCCTCCAGCCCCAGGCTAGCTAGACATGCTTAAAATTCTCTCTCTGCAGCCAGACCTCCCCACAATGCATCCTGTCTTATCCTCAGTGACCTCTGCTCCAGCCCCTGTGCTGTCCCCAGTTTCTTGCCTCCCCACTGTCCCTGCACTGACCACTGTGTGGTCAGCGTGAAGGCCGCATAGAAGTGTGTGTGGGCTGAGGTGTCAGCGTCCAGGCTGCAGACACCACGTAGTGTCTCATACTGTGGAATGTGGCAGATGAGACGCGCCTTTAAGAAGGAGGTCCACTTCTTCTGTAGGATCTTCCTCCCTCCCAGATCTCCCTGGTGAGGCAGGGGCAGGAGGTCAGGGGCCAGGGTCAGTGGTTCAGCCTTTACACCCTTGCCCCGACCTCAGTCCTACTCACTTTGCACACACGGGCCACACGGGCCACACGATGGCTGTTGCGGCTCTGAGCAAAGCTGCCAGAACCCTCCTCAGCCGCACGCTCCGTGAAGAAGTAGTAAACTTTGTCATCGTCACCCACCGCACTGGCCTTGCTCTCCCGCACCAGGATGGAGAACACAAACTCAGCATCTGCGGGTCGGGCAGTTCAAGTGGCTTCAGAGACAGGCTGGGTGTCTCCCCCCTCCCCCCTGGCCCTAACCCCTCACTCAACAATACCCAGGAATAGGCAGGCTCACCTGGGGATTTGGGGAAAGGATGGTCAACTGCCCAAGGGAATAAAGATGAAGAAATAGTCCCTGCCCCCCATCATCCTGAGCCTCATTCTCCTAACCATTGAGCCAGTGCATGGGTGCCTCCTCAGTCCTCAGGGAGTGCGGGTGGCGGCTCCGGCGGATGTCAGGAATGCTCCGGAATTCATACCGTGTGGCTGTGTAGAGGCCTCCATCTGGGGTAGGGACATACCAGGCATGAGACATGTCACATACAACAAGGCACATAACGCACATGGTGGCAAGTCCTAGCAATGACATCTATGTCCATCACACAGCATGCTTGCGGATGAGGGAGGAGTGGGGAGGAGAGATGCTCACCGATGATGAGGCCTGTGAAGCCACGGGCTGGGTCATAAGGACACTTCTCCTTCCCCTCCTCGAAGCTGGTTGGCAAGGTGAAGGCCTCAGCATCCTGGGGGAATGAGAGTTCAAAAGTCAGTGGTTCCAAGGAAAGGCAGGGCAGACCAGTCTGGGGTCAAGGACCAATGACCATGACTGGGACAGGCATACTCACAATGGCTGCACAGAGGGGCTGGAAGGCATGAGTCCCACACGTGTAGAGGTGGGTGGCATTGAGACGCTGTAGAAATCGCACATGGTTGAAGCACTCGGTCTGTGGGATAGGTAGGGGAGGGCCGTGAGCCCTGGGCCTCCTTAGAGGCCTCTTCCATTAGTTTGGCTTGGTAGTCTGGCTCTTATCCTCACTCACAGGACTCGCAGTTCTTTCCAAGATCCCAGTGCCCAGAACACAGACTATTCCCTGGAACTCGCTCTCCTTTGGCCTCCCAGGGGCATGACTCCTCCTCTTCTCCCCTCTATCTCTTTTTTAATTTTATATATATATAGAGTTCAGAGAGGAAGGGAGAGGGAGAGATAGAGATAGAAACATCATAGATGAGAGGGAATCATTGATGGGCTGCCTCCTGCATGCGCCGTACTGGGAATCGAGCCCGCAACCTGGCAAGCGCCCTTGACCAGAATCAAACCTGGGACCCTTCAGTCCACAGGCTGACACTCTATCCGCCAAACCAACCGGCTAGGGCCCCTCTATCTTCTGTTACATCATATACTCTGCCAGCTTCTCCTGCACCATCAGTTCAGGTACTCTCAGGCTCTCCCCACCCTAACATGCTTCTCTCACATCTCAGCAATGTCTCCCAATCCTGGAGCTCCCATACCCTTTTGGAGTGACCTTACCATATCTATCCTCAGGCTCCGGCCCTCTCTCCACCAGATATTTCCAGACACATCAAACTCACCTTGTCAGAAAGCAAGCTCATCCCCTCCTCCCTAACCTGCATCTTCCCTCCTAAACCTGTTCATCCAGTCTTTCCCTCCTTTCTTCCTCCCTGCATCCTACTCAGTCCAGAAACCAGGAGTCATTGTTGCTGCTTCCCATTCCTTCACCCCCACATTCAGACCTGCTCCCTGATGAAATGTTCCTTTGTCCTAAATGTCTCTTGACTTGGTCCACTTCCCCTCCACTGCCCCTACCTGAGTCCAAATTACCACCATTAACTCTTCCCTGAATTACTGCAGCACTCCCAACCATCCATCACTCTTTATAAGAAAATGACTTATTTATTCAATGAGTAGGGAATACGTGCACACAGTGTACAATTCAAAAGGTACAAAGGAATATGTTGTAAACAGAGTCTCCTTTTTATCCCTGTTGCTTCAAAAGAGACTGCTGTTACCATTGTCTAGAGTTCCCTTCCAGAGATATTCTACCAATCAACATATTCTTGCAACCCACTTTTTCCAAGGCATTTAAAAAAATCTAAACCAGATCATGTCACTGCTATATTTAAAAAGCCTTCAGTGGCTCACCAGAGTCCTGAACATAGGGTCCGACATGCTCCTGTTTCTGGCCCTTATGCTGGCCTCACCCTACTCCAGCCACACTGGTCTTCTCTGCCCATCAAATGCCTTAAGCTACTACCCTCTTGACTTCTTTGCCTTGTTAATGGCTCCTCCTCCTGCCTGTTACCCAGGGTTTGAATCCATGCAGGCATCTTTGTCTCATCTGGCTCCCTCACTGGGTGCAGTATTTTGGCATCCATCCCTCCTCTGACCCACACCATGTCCCCAACCTCCCTACTGCCTTTCCAGCCTTCGGACTCCATTTTAATCCATCTGATGCCTGGGGCTGGATAACTATTCCTATAGTAAGTAATGTTTCCTCAAGATGTTTACATTAATAAAGGTGGGGCGGAGGAATTCTGTAGTCAAATAAGTTGGAAACCACAGGTTAAAACCTACCTTTACCGGGAACTTCTTAGAGCCTTAAGGGTGTTGTTGCTATGCATTATGGGATTGAGCATGCAGCATTTCCCAAACTCATCTGACTGTTAAATCCCTCTTTTGAAAATTAATGTTCCCCAGCATATGTTTTGGGAAATGTTCTGTAGACCCAAAGTGTGGTCCAGGGACTAGCAGTGTCAGCTTCACCTGGGAGAGTGTTAGAATTGCAGAATCTAGAGCCTTTTGGGTGAGGGTGCCCATTGTCCCAGAATAAAATCCAAACCCCCAGCTGGGCGTTTGCAGCCCTTTATGGCCTGGGCTCCACCTGCCTCCCAGCCCCATTTTCCATCCACGCTGCACCAGGAGGCAGCCTTTGATGAAAGCTCCAAGAGGCACCTCTTTAAACACAGCTGTCCCAGCACCACTCCTGACTCACTGAATCAGAATCCCTGGGTCAGTGGGCCTTGGGAGTGCATATTTTTAAAAGCTCCCCAGATAGATCTGTTACATAGTCAGACAAGGGACCCCTGCAGACACCCTGTGTCTTTAGTCAGAAAGAACTGACACTTCACCAACACCCCTCCATGGAATACTGGGTACTTGAGCTATTCCTTGACCAAAACCTCATTTTTCTCATCTCTAAAATGGAGAACAATACTGTTTCACAGGGTTATTTTAGAATTAGGTGAGATAATAGCTGTCAGCACTTACTAGAGATTAATTATTGTTATCATGATTGTTATTTGGGAGCCCAGAGGAAATTAAGATGCCATCACAGACCAAGCTAATAGGTCACCAGATGTTTGAATTAGAAGTGCTGTGCCCGGGGCTTGCCACTCCAGTAGCACTTACAGTGTTTATTGAGGTTGCTGCAACTGACTGGCTGATTGTTACCTCTCCATCTGTGTTCTCAACCCTGATATCCCCAATTGAGGAGGAGGAGGAAAGGAGCTGGGGACAGGGCAGACCACATACCTGATTGTTTTTCCCTTTTTGATGACATTTGCTCTGCATCTCTGGGGAGGCCTCCCAGTGGATCTGGAGAAGGGGGAAAGGGGAGAAAGGCTGATGCACTGACCCCAATACCCTTGCCTTTCTCTATTACCTGTGAGACCAGGGATAGGACCCCAGGAAATAGGGAAATTGGGGTGGGGGTTTCAGGAGGAGCATTGGGTGTAAAAGAGACCTGGCTGGGAAGGGCAGAACTGTCTGACCAGGGAGCTATGGAAGGCTGCAGAGTTTTCAGGAAATTGAGGCCCTGGGGAGCTAGATGAAGCTGGAGACCCTCTGGGTGGTCCAGGTTTCAGGGGCTGACCTCTTTGTGAGCCCCGTCTCCTATGTCGTGGGCATTGAGAGAGAACAGGGCGCCCGGGCTCCCACCAGCAGCCTTGCTGAGGCCTCTTCCAGCAGCAGTGTTGAGTAGTTCTGGGCGGGGCCCTTGAAGTGCCGGGTCCCAGAGAGCTCTGGGGAGAACAGGAGCTGTGAGCCCAGTTCTTGGCCTGCCCCCAGCCCCAGCCCCAGCCCCTGCTGCCTTTTGAGGTGGGGAGTTGGTCTAACCTTCATAGGGGATAGTCATCCGTGGGGTGGCATCTAGTTCTCTGGATGGTCTTCGTGGCGAGGGTCCGGGGACTGCAGTTGCTGTGAGGACACTCAGGAGAAGGGGCCAGAGCCTCCCCCACATCTTCCTGGGGAAGCCCAGACCAACAAGACCCCCAAGGGGAGCCAGGGCCAGAGTCAATGGGATGATGGGAAGAATAGTCACAGGGGTCAAGGTCCAGGGAGAGCACTTGAAAGGTCAGGGGTCATGGGGCCAGGGAGGGTCCTGGAATTGGGGGGACATGGAATCATAGGGTTGTATGGCCAT